CCTTTAAGTAGGCTAATCTGTAAAAGACCACCACCGGACACACTTGTTTCCAGTGGCTATGATGCCAAAGCTTCTCCAAAGTCTGTTGCTAAAGTCTGCACCAAAATCCCGCCCCTGAACGCAGGTGTTTTTCGTTGGTAGATCTCATTGAGCTCGTCATTTGAAAAGTAGATCTCCAGAAGAAAAATGTTGGGCGCCCCTGATGTAGAATGTATGCCCAAGGTAAAAAAAAAATAGACTTTTTTTAACCAGTTGACATCCGCGGTGTTAAACTAGCGGGTCTTTCCTGCCCGGGCGCGCGCGAGCAGGAAAAAAAAGCCGTCTGGCGACGGCAACCCGCAGATAGGAGTCAGCCGTACGTCCGTTTTTTCTTAACGGGTGGACGGCAAGAGGTTAATGGTACCTTAGCATGGAGTTGCCCTGTAACCTACACTTACAGGTTAACTAGTTAAATCACCAACTATGGCAGCATTAAGAAAAAAAAAAAAAGGGGTGCACACATGTGACAGATGATGCCAATTTCTAAATTACATCTGCATGGGAAGCACCCTAACTTAAAATTAAAAAAAAAAGCGTAACTTCTGTATAACTGTGAAGACAGTTCAGTTCTCAATCTGTTTCCACTGCCCTGAACCAGGATAATGGTTACAGTACACAGATGAGAATAGGAATTGAGTAATCCATGAACAGCCTCCAGATGAAAAAGTATGGAACTGGAGATCTGGAATAGTTAATTTTTTTAATAACATACAGCCGCAATAACACATAAGAGCGCCCACAGCGGCCGGGACAGCCATCCTGGCTGCATCCTTCTTTTATAATTCCCGTGGGCACGAGCCTTTGTTTTATAGAGAAATGGACTGCTCTCAGAAGGTTCAGACCAGACACCTTCCTTCATTTGGCAGAAGGTCAAAATGACAGGCAGAGGTTCCAGCAAGCATTATGCATTCTCACTGCAATAAGGCTTAAAAATTAGACAAAAGCTTACCATTTCTCCACTATATATTCCGAACAAGTACAGTTATTTCTTTCTGCAGCTTGGTAACTCTGCTATCGCAATATGGTGACGAGTGATGATACACAGTGGATGAAAAGTCCACTTAAAGCGGACCTTTACCCCCTTTTCACTAAAAATCACATCACTGCGCAGCTCTGATGTGCTCTGCTGATATGAAATCATTTTACAATCATTTGTTCAACAGTTTTATTTTACTTAAGTTTTTCTACTTCCTGGTCCTCTTTGGCACAAATGATGCAATGTCCCCAAGCATTGCATTCTGGGAAGGTTCCATCAGCAGAGCATTGCTGGGAAATCTCATCTGTAATCTCATGAGATCTCAGGGAAAGGCCCCCCCACCCCCAGATTATATGCATGGTCACATGTCCTAGTCACATGCGCCAAAGCTCCAGGAAGTAAAGGGAGATGGATTCATCTGCCCTTAGTAAATACGGCCACTGCGAGAAGAATTTGGAGGAAAAGAAAAATAAGGAATGCAAAGAATAAAAAGCCAGCAATTGTCTATAAAAGCATCTGTAGGTAGATTGTTATTACAAAACATTTCTAAAGGTGCGTTTGTTAAAATTTCAAAGATAGGGGTGATGTTCCTCTTGAAGAGATTTTTTTTCCCTTTATATAAAATTTTATCATGCGTCCCTGAAGTGCTTCTAGCTGACCTGAAACCAGTTCTCATGTATACAGTTGCCATGTATATAAATGGATATCCATGGTGACTAGCAGACACAGAAAATAAACACAAACCCATTAAGATAATATCTGCATACTTTACCATCACTCCACCACCAATTAACAAGCACAGCCTATTTGATCAAGGCATGTGCTCATTCAAACACAAGCCTAAACTGCTGAAATGGTGCAGCTGGCAGCGACAAGCCTAAATCTAACGATACCCTGAGCAAAAGGAATTAAGCGAGGGGGTTGCCACGACCTGTTGCTCAGATTAATGTCGATCTAAAGCCCAATATAATCCTAACTTGATCCTCACACCCCTTACTCCTCTTCTATAACCCAAGGCAAAGCATTACTCCTCTTCTATAACCCAAGGCAAAGCATTAAACTTGTCTATCAGCTGCTATGGACCTTCAGCTGTCAGAAGTGAAACACAGACAATATGCCAGGCACAAGGTTGCAGTCAAAAAGTAAGATCTTTAGGTTTAAGTTGAGCCTATGACCCGCTGGTCATAATTTGGCAGCAACCAAATGTTAATACAGCAATGGCTGCTTATTTATCGGCAGCTAAAAGCAGTCAAGAGCAACTGGTAATGTATAATACTGCTTTGTGGATATGGGTGGTTAGATTTTATTATGCTCTAGGTCTGAAACCCACCTTGGAAATATAACCCTGCAACCCCTTCTGCATAAGG